TGATTAGATTTGATGATTACATTGATATCAAGGTTTCAGCATAATGCTGAATTAGTTTATATATTAGCCTTGCTGTCTTTCCCCTTACCTCTATTCCTTTCTCTCAATTTCCTATCTCTTATTCTTCCATTTGCTCCCTTCTCCTTCAGCACTCAGGTTCAGTCTCCTCTCTTAGTCCCATTCCCCTAATAGTCTTCCCATTAGCTGCCTCATCATATTATGAATTTCTCTCAAGTTTAGTCATGTCACACAGAAAATAGTATAAAAAAGGGACAAAGTGAGGCCATTAACAACATCAAGGCTACATTAGGATGTAAGTTTTAAGATTTTCCCTAGATGAGAAAATTTGAAGAATTTGTTATTTTATGATATTTGTGAATCCATCTATTCTTACTAGGTGTTGAGTGGAAGATATGTGACCAATATTAGCCAGATGCTGAAGAGATTAGAAAAGGAGTATAAGCATGATTCCTGACCCTCAGGGTACATTTCAGCTGTAGCTGAAGAAAACAAATGAAAACATATCAAGAAATTAGAAAAATAATGGGAATCCAGAGAAGACTACATGAGGAAAGTAGGAGTGAACTGGGGAATAAGGGTGAATAGCACTAGAAGTGCCAAGGAAAGAAGAGAGAGATCCTACCCAGGAAAGTGAGAAATCAAAGACAGAGGACAGGAACATAGGGATTGTCAGGTGGAAAATAACAGCAGGTACATGAACTGAGCACCCACCGTGTATTGTGCACAATCTACACATCTTACAGATGTTATCCAATATTAGATGCCACTAAAAGCTTTATCAAGGAAACATTACCATTATTTTACAGATAATAAGTTGATGTTTAAAATGTCCATATCACAGACCTTGTATGTGGGAAGTTAGAATTTGAAACCAGTTGAGCAAGACACCAAAACTTGTGCTCTTAACTACTACCCCAGAATGCATGTTGTGGGGACCATTTTATGGAAGGCCTGGCAAGAAGGCGAATATGGGCTATAGCAATCAGAAAATGGGAGCCAACCATTACTGGTTCTGAGGAAGGAAGTACAATGCTAAAATCATTTTTTTAGAGCAATTTGTAGGATCTTGATGTGGAAGAACAAACAGAATTTGGTTATGACTAACTCAGTTGGACTAAATAAAAGATTGTGGGCTATATCCAAAGTTTGATGTATTCTGGTCTTGAGTCAAGTGTGTGGCTGTGAGAATAGAGAACAATGGGTGAATCTAAAAACAAGTTTAAAGAAAGAAAAGAAATACATGTTAATATTGGCTAGACAGATGAAGGAAAAAGAAGAGTCTAAGGAAATCTCAGAGAGACATGGCAAAAAAAGAATAGTTAACACTGACAAGTAGACAGTTGACAGGGAAAACAGTCTCTATGAGAAGAAAGGGACTTCAGGTTTTATTGTGTTCAGTTTGGGGCAACGGCAGGGCATGCAAGGATAGGTTTATTGTCAGAATTAAGAAACCCTTGGATAAGAGACCATACTAAGATGCCTGAGAAGAAATAGAACATGTGAATCACCAGGGTGTCAGTAAAATAACTATTATTATTTTGGGAAGATCCTGAATCTTCTTATAGGAAAGATATAGCATAAGTACAAAACAAATAATGAGAAAATTTCTCCCAGCTGCCACTTTGCCTAAATTTATCTTAGTTTCATGCTTTCCTCTCATATGCACTAAATGCTAAGCATGCATGTCTAATACTACCTCCATTTCTTAATTTCTGTTCATGTTTGTTTGTTTAGCTGTGTCTATGCCTTTAATCCTGCCCTACTTTTGTGCTATCTCAAATCATAAGGACAATAATGACTGGAATCTCTTTATTTTGGCCTATACAGCACTGATTGGTGTGATATACCTCTATGCCATGTTATTTCATGGTAAGCATAAGATTAAACTCAATTATACTGAAGATTAAATTCTTTAAAGTCAGCCTTTCTGATGAAACCTACCTCACAACTCTTCTTGCATGACCTTTGTTACATTACTTTGAGTAAAGCCTGAGCTACTATTAAACAAACAAACAAAAAACTAACAATGCCAGGGGTTCAACAACATGCAATTTTGTTTCTCACTCATATCATAGTTCCTTTTGAAAAGGAACAGTTAAGGTCTGGTGGGGTGGCTCTGACATCATGAACTCACAGTTTCCATGTTAGAGACTAAGGTGGCTGTGCCACTCATTGGAAAGGGGAAAAGAGAATGAAAGGCAGTCAGCTTCCTTTTTTTAAGAATTGACACAGATTGTGCACACATCACTTCTGCACTTCATATTATTGCTGTGGACTTAGTCTATGAGTCAGGGCTAACTCAAGAGAGGCTGGAAAACATGACTTCTAGTCAGAGACCTTGTACCAATTGAAATGGGAGGAAAACAGGGAAATCATGGCTTTATTATTACAAAGAAAAAAAGGAAATTATTAAAAAGAAATTTGTGGAAGCAATAAGCAGACTCTACCACATCTGGGTTCACTCCTTATGATGCTGTTTTTTTCACTGAATGACTTTTCTCTCTGGTGTCACACTAATTTTTAAAGCAGCTAATTCATTTTGTAGTATTATTTTCCATGTGATACATTACCATTTAAAAGAATGAAGGGAGAGCTAATTGGCTGAAATTACGAAGTGAGTGGCCAGAGTGAGCATCTGAGCCTCCTCTTTCCTCCCCACCTCACTTTGTGGGGGCCCATTGATTCTGAGAAATAAAATTTGGAATTTGTTCTCACAGTGTTTATTATTAGAACAGAACATATTATGCTCCCTAACAGTCAAACAAAACCAGTAAAAACCACTTTCTCCTATTTGAATAAGGAAAGTGTCCTCTTCGAATTCTGATTTACTCCCATCTTGTCAGCTAAGTGAGCAAGTGAGCACAGGGCCCAGCCAGTCCTGGGAAGGCTGCTGATCTTGCAGAACACCCCACCAGGTGTGAATTAGGAGGCATGTTGGTGCAAAGAGTGAAAGGGGAGGTTATATCTATGGCTCTTCCCCACAAATCTAATCTTGACACATGGAATAATGTTATGTCTCATTAGTTAATGAACTGTTTTGATTGGAATTGCATGTAGGGGTAGAAATGAGCTCAAATTATGACTAATACTCTAGGAAATACTTTATATCTTCATTTCAAGAGTGGAGAAGAGAAAAAATAAAATAAAAATAAAACAAAACCCAATGGAAAAGTAAACAGAACTTAAAAAAAAAATCTTGGAAGTTTTATTCCAGCCACTGATTTCATGTGTTCTTTTATTGAAATCTAAGAGCACATGACAAGCATCTTGTCCATGTATGACTGTGTATGGTTATTTCAAGTCCTCTGAGCCAAACCAGGGTGTGAAATTCATTAGGGCTTTCTACTTTTATCAACTAGTTTTTGTACATTTCATTTTAGGTATGGAAGGAAACAGAATGAATCATTTGATAATAGACAGTTTTCAAACATTTAATTGCTTTTTTCCTTTAAGAACAGTGCCAATATTTCTAATTTTTTACCCATTTCCTGATAAAAGTTCCCAGTGAGAGAATTTCTTGAAATGTCCGTATTTGGGTTAAAAATCATTTATGTTTCAGATTTCTGAATGTGGAAGTCTTTTTCAGCTACTTCTCAATAACACTCCTAGGATGAGTTCAAAATGGATCATACCAAAGTTTGTGAAGTAGTTCTTTGCAGGATAATCTCATTGCTTGTATTAACAAAGTATTCATGCTTTATAACAATGTCACTTTGTCATGGCCTCTGTTTATTCATTTATAGGTCACTAACAGTGTATAAAATTCAAATAGGAAAATCAAAAAATTGATGGACTCTGTAGTTGCAAGAAAAAAGCTTCTCTGTACATTATAAAAGGTCTCTTTCTATACTAACATCTTTATTATATCTTAGTGATTACTACTGAGAATCACAACTTACTAATATCTAGGAGCCATATTATGACGACACACTCATTAGAGTATCTACCATTTAAGCTTTGTTTCAGTTTCAATTATTTTAATTTGTACAGGACCTCATGCCATAACTTATCCAAGATTAGGGTTTCAAATATTGCTTTATATGATTTCTATCGAACAATATTTAGATGAAAAAAATACTATTTTCCAAGTGCTAGTCCCTGGAGAGTCATGATTCATCACTTGTATTCAGGAGTGAGAATCCATAGAAACAATTCTATGAGAATTCTTATAAGAATTCAATTCTTATAAGAATGTAACATGTTTTTCCAACAATTCATATTCTAGGTGTCTGATCAAACTAGCAATTGAACTACCTAAGTACTACAGAGATAAAATCAGATTAAAGTCAAATTATAGCACATGTTCAAGTACTTCCCCAAATAAAAAATTTTTTAAGATGCCAGGTGCTTCAACTCATAAGATAAACAGCATTTACCAAGTCATAGCTCACAGAGACAGGGCCTGCTCTGATGTGTCCTATGGGTCCTACAGTCAGCTTCCCTCCGCTTGTGTCTTTCTTGCATTCTGCACTCCTTCAAGTGTGTGCATGCACACACACTTATAATAAGGGTCACTTCTGAAGTTTACCCCTGCATGAAATCACAGCCTGTCATTAGAGTAGAGTACTCTGAACTATTAGAGGACATGAGCAATGTTTCTCTTGTTTGCCTCAATCCCCAGTAGGTGAATAAAACAATGCCAAGGTTTTCATCCCCATACTCTATAAAAATTACTCTCATCAGGGTCCCCAGCAGCCTCCACGTTGGTAAACTCAGCTGTCCAGTCTTTGTCCCCGTCTTTATGACTCATCGGCTAATTTGACAAGGCTGGTCACTTTTCTCTGTCCTTCAACAAGTTCACTTAATCTCACAGCTTTAAATGACTTCACTGACTTCCAAATTTATATCTGTAATCTAGACCTCATTCCAGTTTCCATCATATCCAGTTATTCATCAACATCCTCACTTGGATAGTTAATAGGGCATCTCAAAGACACATAACAAAAATAGAACTCCTGCTTTCCCCTGTGTTCACCTACCTGCTTCGGCCCCAAACACACTCCATTTATAGTCATTCCCAGTCAGTTGGTGGGTTGTCTATCTTCTAGATGCTCAGTTATCCATTGTCCTTACTGCCAGCATGACTGAAGCTACAACCAGAAGCAGAAAATAAATGGCTTCTCCCTTCCTCCTACTTTCATTCTCCCACTGTGCTTTCCATTGGCAGATCTTACATGGAAACCAGCAAGCAAGCGAGTCTAAATATAGTAGTTTGCAAGCTTCCAGACTCACAGTACAAAGAGGAGCTTAGAAGACTGAGTGTGAACATCTGTGGACATTATCTGCCACTGCCTCCTAACTGGCCTCCCTGCTGACACACTCACCCCCAGCCTCCTCTGAACACTGCACCCACAGGCTTTTTTTTTAATGCAAATCAGAACACATCACCCCTCTGCTAAAAGTATAATAGAATGGAATGGATAGAATGGAATAGAATAGGATAAGATAGAATAAGGTGGTTAACTTGCTCACCATTTCACTGTGTAAAAGACAAAGTGCTCACAGATACAAATGCAGTGCGATCAGACCTCTGTGACCTCTCTGACTTTATCCTCTCATCATTGGCTCCGTGGCAGCTCCATTACCTCCCTTGCTGTTCTTGGAACCCCTTCTGCGCTTGGCACTGGTTGTTCTGAAAACCTAAAAAACCCCTTCCCCAGGTGACCACCTGCCTAACTCCCTCACCATTAATCTTTGCTGGTTGTTACTTTCCTAATGAGTTTCATTTTAAATTGCAAGCCTCCTACCCTTGGCATCTCTAGCACCCATTACTCGCATCCCCTTGGCGGCGGTGGTGTTTGAACTTAGTGTTCATCACTTTCTACCCCTCTCCACAATAATTTACATGTTCAGTTTTCATAGTTTTTTAAAATTATGTCTCCTTGCATAAAAAGTTAAAACACACAAAAGCAAGAATCTTTGCTTTTCAATGACATTTCAGGGGCCAAAATAATGTTTTACGGTTATGAAAAACACTGTCCTGTTTACTCTAATGGGTGTCAGGGGAGAGCTGTTAATAACCAGGCAGTTGGTTTGTGGGAATGATAAACATGCTGACTGTAGTTAACTCTTTCATGCCTTTTCTAATAAATAGCTTTTCGGGAGAAAAAAATAGAAAATGGGCATTACAGTAAAATGGTAGAATAGCTGCAAAGGACAAAACCATTTCAGTAAAATCTCTCTCATCTGGAGTAATCCAATCAAACTGGCTTAAGTGAAAAGTTGATTTATTGATTGTATAAGTGAAAAATCCAGGAATAGGTGCAGAAATGGCATGACTGTGGCATAACTGGATCCAGATACTCTAATTGTGATGTCAGGAATCAGGCCCTCTTCCCACATGACTTTCTTCTGTGTTACTTTACTCTCAGTCTCCTCGGCTGCTTCTGGATCCAGCTACCAGGGGCAGTTTGCCTCCTGCCCCTGAGGACCACAGTGGAGAAAGTGGCTCTTTCCCAGAGCTTCCAACACAACACCCTTCCTGACTCACACTGGCCAAAATGAGTGTCGGCCCTCCTCAGGACAATGAGTCAGTCTTCAGTCATCTTGTTTGGGTCACATCCCATTCCTCAGACCTGGGACTGGGGTAACCCCACTCAAACCAGAGGAGAGTAAAGGATAAGTGGTTTGACAATGAAAAGCCAAGGGATTTAACCAAAGGAGGAGGAAGGGGCCCCGGGCTGGCATTTCAACTGTCTACTGTATTATGAAATGCCCAGAGATCTGAGGAAAAGTTGACAGTGTACCTAGAGTAAACTAATAGGAAATGAGGCAAGACAATTAGGTGGGAGTCTTATTGTAAAAAGCTTTTTTTTTTTTTTAATGAGAAAAGCACTGGATGAGGTCTCAGGGGACCTGATATAGTCCTTTCTGGAACTATGTGAACTTGTCAAGTAACTTAATATCTACATAAATGTGTCCTCAGCTTTAAAATGATAAATTACACTGAAATAGTCTCCATGTTTCCCACCAATTCTGTTAGCTGTAATTCCAATGGGGCAACTAAGTGTAGCAGCTAGCTAATGCCTAGCTACCGCAGACATATGTATTATCATATGAAGGAGGGAAGAGGGAAACACTTGTTCTCTTCTCCCTTGCCACCAGCTAAGGACACTGTTACACGCCCACACCTAATACAGTAGGACATTCTGATAGATGTTAAAATTAATTCCAGGCAGGGAGAACTGGGTTCTTACCAGTGCCTCCCAAACTTAGCTGCTCTTCAACATTACCTGGAGAGCTCATAAAAAATACAGACCTGGGTCCACTCCTATGGCATTGAACTGGGCTCATGAATTTGTGTTTTTTCAAATTCCCTTTGCACTTACTTCCTCCTACACCTCAGTCTTGGATGTGACACTTTTCTTTTGGTTAATATTATTAAATACTAATCAAAAATCATATATATCTACCTGCCAAGAGAGATCTCTGCTTGGGAATATGTATCCACCAAACAGTCTGCATTGCTTGACACTAATATATAGGAGAAAAAAGGAAACACTATGTTCACTAACATATCTGTGTATTTTAGGCAGAGAAGTTGTGTTTCATTTGATAAGAATTATAGTTTACATAAAAATAAAAGATCCATCCTCTTTATTCTGCCAGTTTCAGAGAACTACTCATAACTTTGCAATTTTAATATAACATCTAACCACAATAGTTAATATTTAACCACAATGAACGCAGCCTTCACATATCTTCAGTCACTGATTTTTTTAATACAGCTCCAGAATTTTTAAAAATGTGATGTTGGTTATTCAATATCAATCATATCTAGTATTCTGCTCCCATAGTGATAAATTTTTTAAATAGATAACTACATTATATTTGATCGAGTTCTTAAGTTTATGAATCAAAAAACAGTTTTAACCTTATTTTTTCTCAAAATATGTTCTCAGATTAATTTAGATAACATTTTCATATTTAAAATCCATCCATTTATATGTGATAAAATAAAATAGAAAGAATCTACTTAATTTAAATATGAACCTAGTTAATAACATCTCAGACATGTTTACCTTAAATAGTTTTGCCATTCTTACTTTCTTCTTGTCTGTGAGAACATATGCACTGGGTTTGTCAGGAAATAGTTAACTTCAGCATGATGTATGTTCCTGGGACTCTAGAAAGGAGTTTTGAGAAAGCTGAAATGAGATGTAAATACATGATTTCCTTCCCACAAACATAATAAAAATAAACAATGAACACACACACACATAAACACACTCACACTACATTTAAGAACAACATGTAAAGAATCCTGAGAAGAGTTTAAGCAAATGATTATTTCAGGTACAGTGGGCAAAATCTCCAAATATCAATTCTGGCTTTGCTATAAGGAAAAAACTTGAAGAAATGTATTCCTCCTTTGCACTAGGGAATAAAGGTAATGTTTCATTCTTTAGTGGGGTACTCATCTTGCCAGGACAATTTTGAAATAGAAAGAATTAATATTTCAGGTGACTCAATTGTTTAATCATTAATCCATTGAATATTTATTTAGACTTTACGATGTCTAGACAGAACACTTGGTATTGGGGATATTTTCAGTATCTTCCATATAAATCAAGACTGACACTGCAATAGTTTTTTGGGTAGATTTCCTGAGACTAGGAAGTTGCCACAACCCCCCAAATCTGAGGAGGGCTCATAGGTACATCAAGGCCCTTCCTGTCCAAACTCACCAGGACCCACAGAAGATGTGCACCTCTTTCCCGCATTCATAGAGCACCACCTCTGTGCCTGGTACTGCCCTCACCCTAATGCTGGGAAAAGAGAGGCAAATCATACTTAGACCCCACCTCCAGGAGCTTCCATGCTAGTGAGGTAGATGGGTGACTAAAAGATCTGAAGTGTGTGACAGAAGCTATAATAATTGCAAAGACAGGATGTTAAGGCACTAAGGAAGAGAGTTAACTCCATCTCCCATGGCAGCAGGGTCACTGAAAGGGACATGAAGAGGAGGGAAGAAAGATTTTGAGTTATGCATAGCAGAAGAAAATGCTGGTGTAAGTACAAAAGCAAGTGTGGCCAGCTTGTGGGGAATAGCTCTGGATAGTTTGAGAAATAGTGACATGAGGAGGGAGGATAGAGATGGAGGAATGTGAAAAGAGGAGAAGAGCAGGGTAAGAAATGAGGCTGGACCAGATAAGGAGGGGTCTTATTTGCTTTGGAAAGGTTTTTCGATGTTACTTGAAACCTAGACTGCCTTTTAGAACCATCCCTGCAGTGTTAGTTAGGAGTGAATTGAGGAAATCTGAAGTTAAGGAAAGGTAAGACTATCTGTATCTTGGAGACATGATAAGGGCCTACGACAGGGAGAGGAGTGCCAGCAGGAATAGGGAGGGAATGGCTTTGAGATCTGAGGTGACCAATTTGAGGTGGAGGATGCATGAGAGGGAGAAACTGTGGATGACTGGCAGGTTCCCAATTGGAATAACTATGTGGATGGGGCACCTTCATTAAATATAACACAAAGAAGTAAAGACATGGGGGATGAGAAGGAGAAAGAAAGATGCTGAGTTCAGATTTTTTCATGTTAAGTTTGAGGTGCCTGTAAAACCTTCAGTGGAGGTTTCCATTGGGCAGGGTATGTGAGTCTAGACTGGGAAGACAGCTGGGGGCTGGAGATTTGAGAACCTTCCACACTGGTGGCATTTGAAGATATGAGAGACGATAAGATAAATCTGTAATGTTGTCCTTTGAGAAAAGAGGTAGCCTGAGAGCAGAACTCTGAGGAAAGCCAGTATTTAAGGGAGCAGAGAAAAACCACACACACAGGAGAAAAGGTTGAGATAGTGTGTGTGGCAGAAAAAAGGACTGAACAGTGTTCCTTAAAAATAGTAATAAGGAGTTCATTAATGACTTCAGGAAGGGAATTAAAAGGTGCATATGGGCAACAGCCAAATCAGAGTCTAGTGAATAGGGATAAAAGACAGACAAGATGAGGAGATTGGTTCAAGATGGCGACATGAGAGGTAAGAGAGAACTCATCTCAAAACCACATATACTATGAAAATATAGTTTATACAACTCTAAAACAGCAACAGGAGAAAAGGCTGCACCAGACTGCATATACCTGGAGAGAACAGAACAGACCTCACAAAACAGGATAATGAACCAAAGCCTTGATCCGGAGGGACCCAAGCC